GAGGTGAGGAAGGAGCCTTCCAAGCAAATATGTGCCACGCAGACCTGCCCACCGGAGTGTCTCTCTGCAGGACCTGAGGCCTCTGTTCTCTGTCGTAGCCCTGGGAATAAGCCTTGGTCTCCTTGCCTCTGAATGGGGCGACGAGGCGTGTGTGTGTGTGTGTGTGTGTGTGTCAGGGGAGGTGTCGGGGGAGGGGGTTGTCGTGGGGATTAAATGGATGGGTGTCTGTCTGGCTGGCACATTCTTGATCTCAGTTAAGTTTCTCTCCGCCTGCCTGCCTTTGTTTCCCTTGGAAATGCCAAACCTTCCCATGGAAAATTTCCCAAGGGCCCATGGAACATTATTACAGTCCCTCTTTCTAGGCAGCACATAATTTTGACATTCTTTCCACCTTGCCTTTCTTCCTGCCATTCAACAACTATTTACTGAGCATATATTATGCATATCCATCTCCAGGCCCCGTACTCTCTGGAGTAAGAAACATTCATCAATCAATTAATGAACTAACATCCATGTTTTCAATCATTTCTTTGATGAATCTTTTGGGTTCTCTGGGCCATGAAATGTTCATTTTTGGCCTCCTTGGTTCCCTCCTGGGTCCTCGCTATGTTCTGTATAGATGAAGATGCCGGATAAGTGAAGTGTGATGGGGGACTTGGCCGTGGCTTCCTCCCTGGTCAGTGATCATGTAATGACTCTTCCCCCTTTTCCTATGGGTGTCACAAGCTCTCCTAGGTTCCTAATCAGTAGGCTTAGGGCAGGCCTGAGAATCTGTTTCTGCCACATGTGAGTCTAACATAGCCAACTAGTTAAACCCCCTCCTTCTGTAGGGAAATCTGAGGCTCAGAGAGAGGTAGCAACTTCTCTGAAGTCACACAGTTAGCCAGGTTCCAAGACCAGCCTAGGACTGGGAGCTCTCGATGTCCCATCCAGGGTGCTTCCTGCTCTGCCAGGTCCCCTCACTGCTGTGGGTGTCCCTCCCTGGGTGGGCCCTGCTGGATTTCTTGAACAAACACCCCATTTTCTCCTGCATCTGGCCCACAGAATGCCTCCTGGCTATGTGCAAAAATAAACACAGCTCACAGCTCGCTGTGAAAGGAGGGCATGTGTTTGTGTGTGTGCTGGGGAGGGGGTCGTTTAAGGCAAGGCACCTGGTGTCCCATTGTCAGCAGGAGACCAGAAAGGCAGGGATGTGCAGGAGAAACCGGAGAGGGACCTGCAATGCTCAGAGCAAGGGGTGCCCAGCATCGGGGAAACGGACCCCTCACCCTTCGCCCTTTCCTCTGTCTGCTGTGAACTCCTCACCATCACCATCAGAACATAATCACAGTGACCACAGTGGCAGCAATAACAGTGGAGGTTAATCACTGATTGCTCGCCCTCACCAGCCCCTGTGCTGCCACGGCCCACGGACGAGAGAATTTCAGCTCATGCAGATCAGCATGCTGAACCGGTGCTCCTAACCCCTGCCACTTAACGTGTGGTCCCGGCTCAGCAGCACCAACTCCCTCCCACTCCCAGCTTGTGAGAAAAGCAGCTTCTCAGCCCCCTACTGAATTAGAACACACGTTTTACTAAGAGCCCAGGTGCACATTTAAGTTTGAGGAGCCCTGTACCATCACAGCATCTCAATTTCAGTAACAGGCTGCTATGGATAACCATAGCTAATGCCTGTAGAGAACTGTCTGTGTGCCAGGAGCTTTGCACATAGAAGCCCATTTAACCCTCACCAGCTTTCTGAGGTACGATGATCACCCCCATGATACAGATGAGGAAACTGTAACCCAGAGAGGTTAAGGAATTAGCCTGAGAACACACAGCCTGTAAGTGGCAGAGGTGGGATTTGAATACAGCCTGTCTGATGCCACTGTCCTTCTAGTTCCTAGGCCCCCAGCCTTTCCTCCCTCGCCGCATTTCTCATCTTGTGTAGGTTTCAACAGACAAGAAGTCTATTTTCCCTTCTTCCCCTGACCCCATGTAACCAATGGACTCCTGAGGGCAGAGACTGGGCCACTACTGGCTACATCTTTTATATCCATTAGCTCAGCCCTCTCACTTGGGGGCTGGGGATGGGGGACAGAGGACAACTTGCATTGGAATCACCTGAGATGTTTGAGAAAAGTGCATATTCCTGGGCCCCTCCAGGTCCTACAGAATCAGACCCTCTGGGATGGGGTCTAGACATCAGCAATTTCCAGGGGTCTTCGTTGCCCACTAAGACCAGGGGTTGTGATGCCCATTTTACAGCCAAGGGCAATGAGGCCCAGAGAGTTTTTCTGTTCCTGTCCCAAGGTTGGAAGCTGGCTGACTGGCACACTGGGTGGGAGTCAGGCACTTCTGGGTCCAAGTTCCTGCTCCTCTCCTTCAGAGCCCAGAGCCATACCTGCGTCTAGAGCAGGTTGGCAAATGCAGCCCACAGACTGTGTGCAGCTTGCTAGCTAAGAATGGCTTTTACATTTTTAAAAGATTGGGGGGAAAATCAGAAGAAAAATATCTCCTGATGTATGAACATTATGTAAAATTCAAATTCCAGTGTCCATAAAAGTATATTGGAAAATAGCCATGCTCATTTATTTATATACTATCTGTGGCTGTTTTCCTGCTATAGAAGCAGAGGCCAGTAGTCACAACAGGGACTGTATGGCCCGCAAAGCCCAAGATAGTTCCCATCTGGCTAATTACAGGAAAAGTTTGGCAGCCCCTGGTCCAGAGCAGTGATTCTCAAACTTTAGCTGCATCAAAATCACCAGGAGGGCTTGCTAAAACACAGACTCAGGGCCCTATCTGCAGGTTTTCTGATTCAGTCAGTCAGCCGTGGGGCCTGAGAACCTGCATTTCCAACAAGCTCCCAGGTGGTACCGATGCCCGAACCACATCTCCAGGACCCTTGTTTCGAGGAACCTGGGTCTTCAAAGCTGACGCTTAGCCCCACCCTGGAAGCTCACAGCCCGCCCAGGGAGTGGGATGGGTTTGGGGAGAAGAGAGAGAGGACCCCCAAGCTCTCACCATCCAGGACCCATCTCATCCACCCATCCACCAGCCCCTGTCCAGGCTGTCCTTCTCCTGGTGTCTGCTCCCCCCTGGTGGCAGCAAGCCTGGACCTTGCCTGGCAATTCAGCCTCGATTGCCCAGCCCTCCATCTGGAAACACATTTCAAAGCCTTCAAAGTTTGCCCATCCTTTCCCCTAGGGAGCCCACTTCCAGGAATTTAACCCAAGAACCAAGGATGTGTGCCGGGATGCTCACTGCAGCGTTGCTGGTTTGTAAGAGGCTAAAACAGGAGACCGGGGCAGCCACTGGACATGGTCGCACAGCTAGTAAGAAGCCCAGGCAGGACTTGAAGTTGGGTCTCACTCAAGAACCAGTGACTCAACTGCCACACTACACGGCCCTCAGGGTGCCCCCTGCCTGCCATGGGCATCAGTGCTTCCAGAGCTGGATTGCCTTGTGTTGCATCCCCGTCTTGTTACTTGCTAGCTGTGTAATATTAGCAAGTCACGTAAGTGCTCTGTCTCAGTGTTCCCACCTGTAAAAGGGGACCATAATTGTAAAGGTTGCATGAGTGGACATGAATGTTTAGCTCTGTTCACTGGGTGAGCTGTTACGCTTATTACTTAGTAAGCCCCCACCTTCCTTCCTTGCCCTTCACCCTCCTTTCCTCTTAACTGGCTCCAAGTATTGTGGGTCACTGGGAGGGGCCCGTTGGTCAGGGTGAACTGGGACAGAGGTGGGGGAGCTGTAATGGGGCGCTGTAGGCAGGAGGTGGCAGACATTTAGCAGGGCCCACCCACGCTGCTCTGAGAACTGCTCCCGCCCTTGGGGCTGGGCCCTGTGGTCTGGAGAATAGGGCACGGAGCTTAGCACTGGGTTAAGCAGACCTGGATCTGAATCCTAGATCTTCTGTGTGAGATGGGCAAGTAACACCCCCTCCCTGGGCCTCATTATTCTTATCTGTAGAATGGGAGCAGTAAGATTAGAGCAGTGGTTCTTTTTTGTTTGTTAACCCTCAGCAGAGGATATTTTTTTCCATTGGTTTATTTTTATTTTTTCAGAGAGAGTGGAAGGGAGGGAGGGAGGGAGGAGGAGAGAGAAAGAGATAGAAACATTGATGTGAGAGAGACACAGAGACACATTGATTGGTTGCCTCCTGCACGTTCCCTGACCAGGGCTGGGGATCGAACCTGTGACCCTTTGGTGCAAGGGCCAACACTCTAACCACTGAGCCACACCAGCCAGGGCTAGAGCTGTGGTTCTTCAATTGTGGTCCCTGGAGGCTGCAGCAGCGTCACCTGGGAACTCGTAGGAAATGCAGATTCCAACACACCCTCCTGGTGGTTGCTAAGTCTGGGGAGACATTGGGAGGGGGAGCACATGGGGAGAATCAAAAGGGAAAGTGTCTTGGCTCCAAGGTCAGGTAAGACTTTGGAGGAGGGCCCCTTGATCCCCTGAGTGGGGCTATGCGCAGTATAAGCAGAAAACCCCTTTAGAGGCTGGCCCAGACATGCTGCCTTGAGACAGGCCTCAGGTCATTGGTAGGCAGGCCTGCCCTTGAATCCCAGCCCTGCTGTGGGATTGAGGGCAATCTCTTCATCCCTCCAATCCTCAGTTTTCTCTTCTGTAAACTGGGCACAATGCAACATGTCTCCAAGGATGAGTGTGAGGATTAATGAGAGAATGAGGAAAGTGTCTAGCTCAGTGCTTAGAGCATAGTAGGTGCTCAACTGATAGTGTTACCTCCCCATCTCCTACTGTGTGGCTGTCACAGAGCTGGATGCAGAGTCTGGCCCTCCAGTCACCTCCAAGTAGAAAGAGTTTCTGTTGTCAGAGGTCATTCATTCATTCAACTAGCATTCAACTAGCACTCAAGCAGCATTTCTCAGCACCTACTATGTGCCAGGTGCTGGGACACAGTTGAATTAGACCACTGGCCCTTGGTCATGAAGTTTATTTCCTCATTTATTCAGCTACATCCATGGAGATTGACTGTGTGCTTTGGCTGGGCAGGGGTGGTGTTGGGGGTAAAGTGAGCGTTGCTGGTGGGCGAGGGGATTGGGAGGGGGAGGGGAGGGGGCTGAATCAGTCCCCAGGTCACACCTCTGGGTTCGGGAAGAGGAGGAACCCAGAGAAGACGCTGTTGGCACCTTCCATGCCCAGCAGGGAGTTCTTCTCGGTGGCCTGCAGGAAGACGCTCTCCCCCTGTTCCAGCTTGAGGACGATGCCGCCTGTGGTGACCTGGAAGGTGTTCTGGACGTAGTCACAGAAGGTGACCACCTTCTGGAAACTCTCCCTGCCCCGCATGAGGTTCACGCACAGGTTCCCTCGGGAGCTGGCGTGGTAGGTGAAGTAGTAGAGGCCGGGCACCTTGCAGTTGAACTTGCCGCTGCGAGACTCGTAGTTGTTGTTGGCGTTGGTGATGACGTGGTCGAAGCGGATGACCTGGTCCTTCCGCAGGGGGATGTTGAGGTTGCGTTTGGCCGAGAAGGCGATTTTCTGCGTAGCCTTGTAGTCTCCTGATTCGCCCTTGGGGCCACGGGCTCCGGGGGGCCCTGGGGTGCCTTTGGGACCCACGGGGCCCTTGGGGCCAACTTTTCCTGGCTTTCCAGGACTCCCTGGGTCCCCCTTCTCGCCAAACTCGCCATGGTCTCCAGCTAGCCCTGGCAGCCCTGGAAAAGCAGAGACAAGAGAAATGAGGCCGAGATCTCCAAGAACCAAAGAAAGGAGCCTTGGGCTGAGAGGCAGGGAGCCTGGCCGAGTGACCTTGGACAGGTCCCTGCGCCTCTCTGGGCCTCAGCCTCCCATCTGTGAAAAAGAGGGGGTTGGTCAGAGGACCTCTGAGTCCCCGTCCAACTCGGCTCCCCAAATCTGTGATGTGTTTGGCCCCAGTGGGGACTGATACCCATGAGGTGGGGGCAGTGTCTCCCTAAGGAAGGTGCTGGGCCGGCCCTCCTCACTTGCTCGTTCAGCACCCTTGTCGGGGCTGGGGCCTGGAGGCTGGATAATGAATTCTGGGCACACACGCTGTCCTGCTCCATTCCCTCCCCCATGGCTGACATCCCTAATCGCTCCCGACGGTCTTTCTTGCTGAACTTGGAAGTGGGCCTTCGAAGCCTCCCGCTCTACTCTAACAGCCACTACCCTTGGTTTGGCACCACACAAGGTAAAACCATTTCCCAGTAGAGTGGCAGAGTTTAGTGCTGAGAACATGGACTCAAGGGGCAGGCAGATGTGCTGCTCACGTCACATCTGCCATTATTAGTTGTGCCACCTTAGGTGAGTCAGGTTCCCTGAGGCTCAGCTTCCTCATCTGTAAAACGGGAGTGATGAGATTTTGTGGACTTGTGAAGACTGAATGAGATAATTTGGGGAGAGTGGTTCATTATGGGTGAGTGAACGAATGAACTATATTTCACAGGGGTTCTTTATGGTAGGAAGTCTCGTTTGAACCCCGTGACTACCCCACAAAAGTGTCATCATCCACATTTTACAGGTAAGGGAACAGCAATTTAGAGAAGTGAAGCCACTTGCCCTGGAGGCAACCCAGGACTGTGACTGTGGTGGTGGCCTCTCTCTACTTGGATTTAGTGGAAAGAGATCCATGGTCTGGTCTCAGCCTCAACATTTACTGGGCTCCTTTGGGCAAGTGAGTAGCCTTTTTGGACATCAGTCTTCCCATCTATAAAATGGGAATCAGAATTCTCTCCTTGCAAAGTTATTGCGAGGGCTCAGCCAGCTGATGGATGTGCAAGTGTTTCTACAATCTCTAAGGTGGGCAACTGTGCCTTGGGAGGTAGGAGGTGGGCCCTCAGTCAGTGACACCAGTGTGCCCCCAAAGTACACAGCACCTTTCTCTCCCTTTGTCCCTGGGGTCCCAGGTTTGCCATCAGAGCCTGGTACCCCAGGAATGCCCGGGGTGCCAGGGATGGCCGCGTGCCCAGTGCAGGTGCTCTGGGCCTGGGAGACATCTAGTAGACCCAGGAGCAGCAGCAGCAGCAGCGCCCGGAGGCCGCCCCTTGGGTTCTTCATCACCACACTGGCTCAGCTGCTTCCTGTGGGGGCACAAGGAGACGTGGTAGGTTACTACTGGGATGATTCCACATTTTCTTTCTTTCTTTATTCACTCATTTGTTTGTTCAGTCGTCCATGTGTTCGCTGAGTCTGTCCTTTCCGCCAGCCCCTGCCCCGAGTGCTGGGGATACAATGGTGAACAGAATGGATGTGGCCCCTGCCCTCATGGGGCTGACAGTCCGGGGAAGGCAGACGGTAAGCAGGTCAACGTACAAGTGCACAGAAATAGTTAGAGGCGTGAATGAGTGCTCAGAGGGAGAGGAACTGAGCTGGGGTGGGAGGAGGCTGGTTTGTGAGGGGAGTCCTCCCACCAGGGAAGTTTTCTAGACAGGGAGGCATCTCAGAAGTGATGTTTAGGCCAAGACCGAATAGACCTGGAATGTGGAGGACCAGAAGGGGGCCAGCGTGGCCAGAGGGGACGGAGGGGTTGAGTGACAGGAGGCTGTGGTGGGCGGGTTTTGGGTTTTACTCTAAGTGTTCTCATTCATTGGAGCTCCTGAATTCGGGGTGCCTCTGCTGCTTCCACAGAGAGCCACTTCACCTCCTCAGAGCAGCCCCGCAGGAAGGAGCTATTATTTCCATACAGGAGAGGACCCTGACTGAAGCTCAGTGTAGCCAAGTCACTTGCCTGGGGTCACACAGGCAGGACTTCAGCCAAGACTCGAGCCCAGGCCTGTCTGGCACTAAAGCCAGTGTCCCTGCCAGCAGACCAGCCCATCTCTTCTGGCGGGATATTCTTGGGTCCCTCCAAAGGCTGTGGGCCCTGGTGAGAGGGTGGTGCTGGCCCCTCCCTCACCCCAGAGAACTAGAAGCAGCCCTGGGCTGCCCTGAGCTGGCCCGCACAGCCAGTGCCCCGTGGCATTAATCCTCAGGACAGAAGTGACCTCAAACTTCACCTAGTCCGACTGTTGGCTTATTTTTTTTTTTAATCGAGCTGATACTCACTAACATAAATTTGATCATTTTGAAGTGAACATTTTGGTGGCATTTAGCACATTTGCAATGTTGTGCAACCACCACGTCCCTCTGGTTCCAAAACATTTTCATCAGCCCAAAGAAAACTCTGTACTCCCCAGCCCCACTCCCCCCATTCCCTGACAATCACTCATCTGCTTTCTGTCTCTATGGATTTACTAATATGGATATTTAATATAAATGGAAGGATACAACATGTGACCTTTTGTGTTTGGCTTATTTCACTAAGCATAGAGTTTTTAAGGTTCGCCTGTTATACCACGTGCTTTATTCCTTTCTATGGCTGATGATGTTCCATTGTGGGGACATTACAGTTTGCTTATCCATTCATTACTGATGGGCATTCGGGAAGTTCCCACCTTTTGCCTATTGTGAATTGTGCTGTTACGAACATTCATGTACAGGATTTGTTTGAATACCTGTTTTTAATTCTTTTTAATTCTACCTAGCAATGGAATTAACTGGAATTACTGCCTGGGGTCTTATAGAAATTCTATGTTGAACTTCTGGGGGAACCGTTAGCTACTATTAAGTCTCCTTGATAACATCTCTGCCAAGGGCTCTTCCATCCATGACTTGTACCATCTCGATAATGGGCAGCTCATTACTTACCAAGGCAGCCCATTCCACCTTTGGCCAGATCCAAATTCTCCCCATCCTTCAAGACTTGGGTCAAGGTCTTTCTCCTTCAGGAAGCTTTTTCTTATTACCCCTCAGTCCACAGAGGCTGAGCTGTTTCCTGTTCTTAAAATGGGAGGGCAGAGTGGTCCCTGAACACCTGCCAGGATAACTGTGGGGATCAGGGCGTGGCCCCCGCTAGGAAAATGCCATGGAATTCCCAGCTCTTGTTCAGACTTGTTGCTGCTATTGTCTGATCCTCACAGTACTCTGGGGAAGTGGGTTCTGGTTATTTCCCCATGTTGCAGATGAGGAAACTGAGGCTCCAACATTAGAAAGCAACCTGCCCAGAGTTATGTGGGAGTTTGTTAATGGCAGAGCTGTGGCCAAACTCCTTCCATCTCTGCCATCATGCTGGCCGGGCCAACCCAGAATTTAGCACTTGGTGGCCTTGCTGGGACCAAAAAAACCTGCTGGTTTTTAGCTCATGTGCTCATAAAATCAGCCTCACCCCCCCAGTCTGGTTCTAATCAGTTCATTGCCCAACCCCCTGAGTTATGCCAGACTCTGTGCTGGAAGACTGCAGAGGGAGCTGTGACCAGCTTAGGCTCTGCCCTGCTCTGAAGAGAGAGGTGCTTCAGGGGACCTGCTTAGTTCTGAATGAAATCAGTTCCCACTCTTGCTGGAGGTTTTACAAAATGACAGTTTGACAACTTCACTATCATGTGTTGGGCACTTAGCAGGTACCAGGCTCTGTGCCAAACCTATATGTGCCATTATTTCATTGAATTTGGTTCTTACAACAGCCTCTTGAGAAAGCATCTCCGATTTCTCATTTTATAGATGAGGAAACTGGGCATAGAGAGAGCAAGAACCTCGATCAAGGTGACACAGCCCTGTATGGTTGGGATTTGAACCCGCGCCCATTGGATCTTAACATTTACAGGGTGTTACATCAAGAGGCTGCTGTACCTGGTGGTGAAAACCTGGGCTTTGGAGCCAGATAGCCCAACAGGAGGAGCTAATGCATGGACTGCACTAAGGGCAGCACTGGGTCCGGAGCCAGTGCCCAGTGAAGGATGCTCTTATCTTATCATTACTGTTATTGTTGCTCTTAGGCAATGGTGAGAGGCCTGGAGTGTCAGGAAAGAAACTGCCAGGGTCCAGAGCAGGCCTCTGCCACTTCTTAATTGAGGGCCTCAGACAGGCCACTTCTCTCTTGCCATAGTTTCTCCTACACAATGGGACTGATACTAATCTCTACCTCATAGGGTTGGTGGGAGGACAGGTGAGTTAGGGCTTATGACAGAGTCTGGGATGTTGGAAATATTACTGAATACTAGCTATTTTTAAAATTATCAGCATCATCTTAGAATCCCCAAGTTCTGGGACATGATGGAAGATGATTGGAAAAGTGAAAGAGAATTGGTCCCTGTGAGAGGTTGGGCTCAGGGATAGGGGTATCTCAGGCAGAGGTGGCCCAGGGGTGGAGAGCTTCCACCAGTGAGGTGGGCGGGGGGCAGGGGGGGGAAGCAGGGTCCTGACCTTTGATGAGACTGAGGCTTCTTGGGCAAATGGGAGGTGGGGTGGGGGCGTGGAAAGACCTGGGTTCTGGCTTATTTTAGGGGCCACTGAGTCTCAGACTTGGATGTAGACCTAAAACTCATCTGGTCTGACCACCCACTGCCTTCACAAGCATCACCCCTGTCAGCCTTGTTCCTTACTCATGTCTTTCCCTGCATTACTGACCCTTCCATCTCCTTCCAGCGCCAACAGCTTCTTTAGCCCTGACTCGCAGTCAGGCCAACTTGACCTTGAACCCTCCCCCCCCTTTTGCTGCTATCTCCCTGCATGACCTCCAGCAAGAGCCCACACCTCTCTAAACCTCTTTGGCAAAGTTAATTTGTACCTGCCAGGGCTGCCAGAGGATTAAATGAGATGGAACCTAAAAAAAATAAGGTGCCAGGTGTAGTGCCTGATCCCACACCCTCCTTTACAAACACTGAACTCAGTACTAACTAATAATTAACCACAACTCCACCTGCGAGTCAAACGATTTCTTTGAAAGAATCACGCTGAGCTTTCCCAGCAGACTACAAGGAAATAAGAGGTGGCAGGTGTTGGAGAAACGCTGGGCCAGGTGGAGGGCACCTCGGTTCTGACATCTTGACCCGGGTAGTGTGCTAAACACAGGGTGACCTTGGTCTCCCTTAGGGCATGTAAGGCACCTGAAAGGTTCTGATTCCCCCAGAGGGGGCTTCAGCTGAGAAGTTACATGACTTGCCCCAGATCACCAGCACTTAAGAGGCAGAAGCAGGTCTCGGCTTGAGTCTTGGTGACACCAAAGCCCTTACGCTGGTGGCCCCCATTTTAGGCTGCCTCCCTGTCACCTGGGCCCTAGGTAGCTGCAGACCTCCAGAGAGTTTGATTCCCGAGGTCTGGGCCCAGGCAGGAATCCGCAGTGTTAAGCACTCCAGGGGGCTCCGAGGCAGGGGACGCGAGGTCTGCGCTCTGGGAGTCACCACCGTCCGCCCCTGGTCGTGCCGGCCACCCCCCAGGCACCGTACCCCGGCCTCACCTGGGAACCTGGCGTCCGGTGCTGGGCGATGCCGTTGGCCGGGTAGCAGTGGGACCAGGAGCCGGGAGCCGAGGCGCTCAGTGCGAAGCGGAAGTTCCATTCCTCGGACGGCCCCTCCACGGGCACAGCAGGCCACCCCCCCCCTTGTCACCACACTCTCACCCTGTCCTGCTGCCTTCAGGCAGTTTCAGGTCCTGTTTCTGCAACCTGGAGGGGCTGACCGTAAATGGGGTGGATGGCAGTCCCTTGGTTTCGCCTGCTCAGCAGCTGCGGGGAGAACGCGCTGTCCTGGGAGAGTGACCCCAGCTGGTGGCTTGGTGCCAGGGCCTCTGGCTGCCCATCTTCTAAGGGAACAGGGATGTTTCTCAATAAAATGAAAACATGGCCGGCCTGGTGCCTGGGCGCTGGATCTGGAGTCAGAAACCTTGATTCATAACCTGGCCCTGCCACTTGCCAGCTGAACGGTCTCAGCCAGGGGAGCCCAGCGGAGCCCCGTTTCCTCTGTTACACGATGGGGTCATAATTACGCCTGTTCTACGGGTCACATGGGCCCTGGGGGTCAGGCGGGACAGTAGAGGAGAAAGGGAGGGTACACTGTAAAGTGCAGACCACCTGTTAATTGTTAATATCAGGCCATGTCCCAGGCTTCGCCTTTCTGGGCTCATCTCTTCTGCTTTTTCCCCATTCTGCACCCCTCCCTGCTCTTTCCCTGCTCTCAGAAAATAATCTAATAATGAAAAATGAATTTTAAATGTGGTTATTATTTATTTATACCCCTCCCTCTGCTTCCAGCAGGGCTTGAGGCTGAGGACAATAAGAGGCAGGGGCCTGTTGATCCTGGAATCACACCAAGTTAGAGCTGGAGAGGGGCTTGGAGGTGACCCAGTCCATCCCCTTTTTAAATATGGGGAAACGGAGGCTCAGACGGGAGATATTTATCATGAACCTGCAGGTGCCCTGCACTGGGAGACAGCCACAAGCAGGTCAGCCCTGGTTCCTGCCCCATGGAGCATCTCTTCTACTGGGGGAGACTGGTGTGAACTGTCCAATGACACAACACATGGTTTCATTGCTCCTGTGATAAATGTCACAAAAAAGTGACTGCTGGAGCCCAGAACTCGTGCAAGTGGCAGGTGCAGGACTTGGCGCCAGGCACCTGACACCAGGTATCAGCCCCTTTCTGAGGTTATGTCTCAGGCTCAGGGAAGGTTGCCCAGCAAGCACAGGAGCTGACGTAGGTCAGGAGGGCCTGTCTTGACATCTGTGCTGAGACAGAAAATTGTTGGGCTTGTGGATATCGCTTGACGGAAATTGTTAACTGCAGTGGGTTACAGGGAAAGAAAAGAGTAGTTTGATAAAACCAAAGGGTCTCTGAGTTCAGACAAAGGGACCCAGGCCTGGGTGAGGAGGGGACAGTGGTGGATTCTGGGCAGGGAGGGGTTTAGTAGGTTGCAGTTCCAGGGGTCCATCTGAGGATTCCTGAGGCCACTTGGGTCTGGCCTCTAATTCATTGGTGGCTGATGGCACTGGGAAGAGATGGGCTTGAACCTGGGGTGGAAGCAGCTGGGAGGAACTAGGGGCATGGCTCTGGAATGGGCCTCTCCCAAGTTTGAACCCCAGCTTTGCCTTTTTCTAGTCATGTGGCTTCAGGCACATTTATTGACCTCCGTTTCCCCATCTGTGTATTGGGGGCATGGGCACCCACCTCCTGGGGGTGATGTGGGCCTAGTGAGGTAACCCTGTCTACCTGAGGCCCAGCTGAGTGCCCAGCCCTTGGTGGGCACAATGCAAACCTGGGAACAGCATGATTCATATGAAAAGAAAGAATTCTTGGAGCCTGGGGACACAGGAGCCATGCCTGGACCAAGGGGAGGCCTAGACTAGGAATCAGGAGCCAGGGCATCCCGGGCCTTGACCACTGAGTGGTGACCAGCTGGTCTCTGTGCTCCTAGAATTGCTGACTTATGTCAATGGCCTGTGGTGCAAGTGATTCCTTATAGCTTGGGGTATCTCGTTCTGGCTCCTGTCCCACTAGCACACCCTCCTTTCGTGCCCCCCATAAAAACCATCCTCCAGTTCCTCTCAGCCCATCATACAAGCTGGCATTTTCAAAGACTCATCACTCCTGGAAAAGGGAGCAACAGGGAAACAATTATGGAAAATAAAGATGGCAGTAAAATTGTCTTTTCCAAAGTGCAGGTTTCTTATCTGACACTGGGCCTACATAAATGGCATATTGATTTTTTAAACAAAAGAGAAATGAGAAGAAAGATGTATCACTGGGGGCATTGCCGGGTGGACTAAGTGGTTGATGGAGGGGAGCTGTGAACGGAGTGGCCCCGTGACCCTGGCTGTGTCCTGGCCAGAGCCCCCCTGACTCTGCGAACCAGGCGGGGCTCCTCAGCCCTGGCCTCTCTTCTCACTCTGTGTGTGTGTCTTTATCTGTCTCTCCTTCCTGTCTCACACATTTTTTGTACCCCTACTATGTGCAGGTGTGTGTCAAAGCAGCCCTGCCCTCAAGGATGCTTCCTGTTCAGTGGGGGAGGCAGATCTGTAAGCGAGTAAGTGCACAAAAGCCAGTTGGCGGATCATGTGCATTGACTTCACCTGGCAAACTGCGCACTCGCCCACAGTTCTGTCTTCCCTGAACCTTTATAAAAAAGCCTTGGGTCCCAGAACCTATTTTTTGTTTTGTAAATAAGTCTGTGGGTAATTTTGTTGCATCACCAGGTTTGGGAATCGGGACTCTAAAGGGTCACGAGTATATGGTCCAAGTCTGTGGACGGCACTGTAGGGACACAAAGGAGAGCATCAAGGAAGACTTCCTGGAGGAGGTGATCTTTGTGTTGAATCCTGGCAGTTGGGTGTGTAGTATCCAGGTGGATGGAGGATTTATGAGCAGGGTAGGGGCTCTGCAGGATGAAGGAGTACCATGGGCAAAGGCGTGGAGGTTTGAAACAGCCCGTTTCAGGAACAAAGGTGAGTAAGTGGGCGGAGGTGGCAGTAGAGCTGGGCTCAAGCCACCTCTCCTACAGCCACCTCAGCTGGCCAGTGCCTCTGTGAGCTCCGTGCGGCCTTGCGGAACCGAGCTGAGGTCCCAGCCAGGCCGGGCAGGTTGTCGCAGACCTGAGTGGGTCTTACTGGGCTCCAAGGCGAGACCTGCAGTCTGCACAGGAAAGTTCACCTTTTGATCATTTCCAGCCTGAACTGTCAACCCCTTCTCATGGTCACGGCAGTGAAAGCGATGCAGCTGACGGCCTCCTGGTCCTCCAGCAAGGATCGTGGTGGCGGGGCCTGGCCGTCAGGAACCTCACAGGGACTCCCTGACAGCCGGAGGCAGCAGTGGTTTTAGATGATCTCTTGGGGGCTCCCGGAGTCTGTCAGACATTGGGAGTCAGATTCTCACTCTCTCTCTGACTCATTCATGCCAAGCTCAGGGCTTGGTTAGGACTATTAAATAACTTAGTAGGTTGGTTAGCATAATGCCTGGTGCATAGTAAGTGCTCAATAATGTTAGCTATTGTGATGTTTTTATTTACTCATTTACTTACTCTCGTAGTCATTCGTTTACCCCCTTACTCATTCACTCATTCACCCCAATTCACTCATTAATCCAGCACAAATTCATTGCACATCTGTTCTTTGTCTAATCTGGGCTTACCTGAGCCCAAATCCCTACTGTGACAGGCGCTCCTGAAATTCACCTTAGGTCCACAGAAGTCTGGGAATTCAGACACGCTCCTCTTTACCTGTGCACAGATGCCTTTTGTGACATCAGTGCTTTTCACCCAAACAAGTGACAGCAGGTGCCCCTTGGTGACCTCTTGTAGCCTCCAACCACACTCGAGCAGTTCTTTCCCAAATGACCAAATTGGTGCTGAGTGACTCAACATTGGCACCAACCTTTATTGAGCCCCAGCTAGTTGCCCTGTGTGAGCCCAGAGCCCACAGATGGCTGTAGCAGGTGCAGTGCTGAAGATGAAGAGACCCACTTCTTCAAGGAGGCAGTGAGAAATCAGAGCCACGCACATTTATTGATTTAATTATTTATTCATATACCTTTCAGTCTTCCAAGACTTAGAGAAAAGTAATGATAGTACCAGAGGTGTTGGGTAAGTGTCAAGGCAGTGATTCCTGCAGGAACTCAGAGAAGGGAGAGAACTCACGGGATGGGTGTCAGGGTGGACTTCCTGGAGGAGGAGTCCATTAGGTGGGGAGAATGCCTGAGCAAGGATGCGGCACAGCATGTCCAGGCAGGGAAGCTGAGGGAGGTGGGGTAGCCTGGGGCTGGAGCAGGCCTGCTCCCCTAGTCGGGGAAGAGCAGGAAGCCGGAGAAGACGCTGTCAGAGCCCTCGGTGCCCACCATGCCGTTGTAGTCGTTGACCCCCAGCCACACCTGCGCGCCCTCCTGCAGCCGCAGCAGCACACCGCCGGAGCTGACCTGCCTGTTGCTGGACATGTGGTCACAGAAGATGGTCACCTGCACATTGTCGCGGTACAGCTGCACGCACAGGTTGGCCGTATGTGATGTGTGGTGGACGAAGTAGTAAAGGCCGGGGACTTTGCAGGTGAACTTGCCCGTGCTCGTGTTATAATCCCCCTGCGGGTTAGTGATGACCGTGTTGAACTTGACCAGGCTGTTCTGTGCCGGGGGCAGGACTGTCTGCCGTGTGACCGTGAACACTGACTGGTGCTTCTGCTTGTATCTGCCCTCCTCTCCCGGCTCCCCGGGGGGGCCCATGAGTCCGGGAGCCCCCGGAAGCCCAGCGGCTCCCATGGGGCCATTTTTCCCAGGAAAGCCAGGTGTGCCAGCTTCTCCCTTCTGACCCTTGGGTCCTCGTGTCCCAGGAATAGCTGGGATTCCTGGGGAGAGAGCAGGTGGGAAGGAAGTGATGGAGCAGGGGACAGGGAATAGGAACCCTGGGGCTGTCCTCCAGGGGACACACCACTTGGGTTTGGTCTCTGAAACCTCTTTCCCCCAGATGCACTATCCACCTGGGAGCAGTGAGCAGGGAGTAAGGGGGGACAGAACAGCTTTTAAGCTGATCAGAGGGGAGGGAGATCCTGGTTCAAGCCCTGCCCACCTCCTACAGACTTGCCTTCTGACTTGGGCAAGACACCTGTCTCTTGGCCTCAGTTTCCAATAGAAGGTTCTATGGCTGTGATCCTGACTTCTCTCTCCCCACTCCTCCAATTACCCAGGTCCTCGGGGGCACAGATTTCTGATGGAAACAATGATAGCAACAGCAGGAACAACTATAGCCTGCATGTGTCTGATGCCTACCATGTGTTCGGTGCTGTTTTATATTTAAACTTAATTATCACAGCACCCCCGTGCAGTAGGCACTACCACCTCCCCATTTTGCAGATGAGGAAACTGTTAAGTAAGCATGCACAAGTTCACGCGGCGGGAAGTGGTGGAGCTGGGATTTGAACCCTGCTCGTCTGTGCATTGCATACATTCATTGTGAGGGTCCCTCCTTCCCCAGGGGTCCATGTTGCAGGGCAAGCAGTGGAGGGTTTGTAACAAAATAGTAGCCTAGCATTTTAGAGTTTGCCAAAGGTTTTCACATAGGCCCTGTCCTATGATCTTCCCTGCCGCCTTGCGGGGCAGGTGCTTGTCTTCTCTCCCTGCTATCAGATGAGGAAACTGGGGAGGCTGAGGCCTGGGCTCTGAGCACAGAGGGGCTACACCCGCCATGGGAGCTGGACTCTGCCCTGGGAGCAGGTGTGGCAGGCGGGACCACACTCCTTGCCATCAAATTACTGTCCTCCTAGGAGGATACTCCAACCCTTGCCCCAGGCCCTAGGTGACCCTCCCCCACCAGGCCGGCCGACTCACCTGGTTCACCCTTGGGCCCTTGCAGTCCATCATGCCCATCCTTCCCTGGGGCCCCGGGCAGCCCTGGCATCCCGGGGATCCCGTAGCATTCTGCGGCGGCCTGGCTCCCAAGCGGCAGTGCCAGAAGGAGCAGCAGCAGGTTTAGTCCAAGGGGGGGCCAGAAGCTGGAGCCCCTGTCCATTCTGGATGGCAAAAGCTGGGTTGGCCCATTCAGCCCCTTACCCTCCTCACCCTCTCACTCCACAGGGCTCATCCCTCTCTGCCCTCAGGAACCTCCCTCCCTTCCCCGAGCCTCTCACCCCTTGGGACCACACAATGAATGGACAGTAGGGTAATTTCTTTGAGCTTAGAGAGGATGGGGACCCTCCTTCCTGTCACAAATCCGGCCATCCCTGGGGCCATGTCTCAGGAAGGTGGTGGGGAAAAAAGCTACCATTTGCCCTCACCTGGACAGGGGTCCTGGCCTCACCTGGGGGTAGGAGGTTTCTGGTCTGGCCACTGAGATGTCCTCCGATCGGCTTCCCCTCTCCCAGGCAGGAGGACACGGTGTCAGAGTAGACGGAACAAGGAGGGCCTGGAGCAGACTGGGCGGCCCCCTCCCTCCCCTTCCCCCCATCCCACATCCCCTTTCCCATATTTTTTCTTGACTCACCACTTTCTTTTTGGTGCTGAGCCAGGCTGACCACAGTGACATCGCTGTGTCCCCCCACCCTGGGTCATGAGGGTCTGAAATGAGGAACTGTCTACTGCTCCGGATCTGGTGAAGGGGGTGTGTGTGTGCGTGTGTGGACTGTGTAAACACAGGCCTCCTGGGCAGACTTCCTCTAGCGTCAAGTTCAGCCCATCTCATGTCCATCCCCGCTTGCTGGCATTTACTGTGCCCGAGGCTCAGTTGTTTCACAACATTGCTAGGGGGAAGTTACAGCCCCCTTTACAGATGAGGAAACCGAGGCTCAGGGAGGTAAAAACCTTCGCCCAAAGTCATGGAGTGGTGGTTTCTGGGGGTCCGAAGATTTGCCCTGACCCCTCTGCTTAGCTGCCCCCAGTAATAAGCCTCATATGCACTTGTCAAGTGGTAGGCCTTATTCTAGAAAGTTCCATATGCCCCCGCCCCTATCACAGTTGGGGGTGGACACCCAGGACGGGCAGGCTTTGATGGCAGGCAGCCTGCTGTGTTGAACACACTCCTCTGGCTACAGAGTCAGTGGTCTCAGGGTCTCCTTCCAGCCCTGCCACCCCCTTTCCCTAAGGCCTTCAGCAAACCATTGACCCCACCCAGGCCTCAGCCTCCTGCCTGTGTCCTGGGTGGTGAGGGAAGCTGGGGCTTTGCATGTTGGTACCTCTTCCTTTGCCCCTTGTGGCACTGCCTCCCTCACCTCCCTTCCCCGTACCCCGCCTTTGGTGTTGGAGCCTATTATGGCCGGTGAGGGGTTGCCAGTTGGGATTGGGCTGGTAGAGCTGAGAGAGGCCCCCTCCTCTCTTCCTCTCCTCCTCACACAAGATTCCAGGGAGGAAGGTGGTGTCGGGCTGTAGAGGGTCCCAACCCTGACCCCGCTCCTGCCACCTATGTCACTCAGCATCAGTTCCTCCTCTGTAAATGGGGGTTCCACTAGCTCGGGTGCAGGGCAGTGAGGACGCTGTATGATAGATATACACATGATACTCAGTCCTGGGCAGGAGCAGGAGTTCAGAGCCCTGCCCCTGCCTCCCTAAGTGACCCCCCCCCAGGGCCTCAGGCTCCCCATCTGTTCCTCCACGCTCTGGCGTGGGCTGCAGAGTGGAGGGCAGAGCGGGGAATCAGAGCGCAGATGTGAGTGCACTTGACCTTGGGAGTCTGGGGCAGAACGGATGGATGGCACTGAGCCCCCATCCTCCTCACCTCGTTGGCGCCTGGGCCTGGTTTGTCCAGCAGATGGCAGCCTCGGCCCACGCTCAGACCTTCCTGCAGGCCCGCCTGGCCGGCTGGGTTCCTTCCTTCCAGAGTGGTCAGGGCAGCGATTTGCCTCCGGGGAGGTGGATAGATTTGGGTGGAATTTAGGGTAAGGAGCAGCCGCAGCCACTATTTCTATAGCCTGGTCTCTCCCGCCACTTATGGGGCTCCACTGCTGACATTTGCTTTGGGTCCCACTGCAGTGAAAGAAGCCTCCACTTTGGGGTCAGGTAGAGCCGGTGCAAATCTAGCCCTGCCACTTTCTGGCAGTGTGACCTCGAGTCAGCCCCCCTCTCTGAACCTCAGTGTCCTCATCAATTCTGCTGGGATTAAATGTATCAATGGTTATGAAATGTGCAGCACATAGTAGGTGCTCAAAGATCTGTCTCTTCACAGTCTGTGGGTGGGTGTGTTCTGGGGGCAGTGGGATCGAGGGGGCAGAGGGCCCTGCGGAGCTCAGCACTGCCCGGGGCTGCAGGGGGTCACTCTCTTCTTCCCGACTCCCACGGGCTGTTGGCGGGGCAGCCCCAGGAGAGGGTCTTGACTGTATGTCGGAGGCAGGGGTAGGGGGTTGTGTGTACGTGAGGACTTCAAGGCTGCTTGTGCGTCAGTGGATGGGAGAGACAGTCCCTGTGGGGTGTCAGCAGGCGTGGAGGTCAGAGTATGAGCAAACACTGGTGTTTCTAAGTCACATGCATGTTGGAGGGAGTGAAAGATGCGTACACCTGCGTGTCACGGGAGTGTCTGGGACACCTGTCTCAAGGGGTGTGTAAGAGTACTTCTGAAGGTTTACAGGGGGCACTCGGGGGTCTGGCGGCACGTGTATCCCCAGGTATGTCTGTGGGCTCAAGGGCATAACTCATGTGGATGCCCAGGAGTGTGCATGGGTGTGCCTAAGAACGTGGTGTGTGCTGAGGGAGGGACCATGTGCCCGTGTTTCAGTGAGGAGTGGACCCAGGAACGTGGGTCCATGTGCATCTGGAGGGAGGTGTACGTGCGTGGTGTGTGTGTGGGGTGTGGGGTGTGGGGGGTGGGCACATGTGTGCACATGTACAAATATAAAACCGGCTCCCTCTGAGAAAAGGCACAGTGCACTGGACGTTTTCAGGACTGAACTTCTGGTCTTATTTTCCTCATGTACAAAGGAATACTGGGGCTTCTTGCTCCTGAGCAGCTCTCAGGCTGGCTGAATGGGACCCTGGGAATTAGCCACAAACATTCCAGACCCCGGTCCCAGTCCTGTCCTGGCGGGGTGCCTAGCAGGCTGCAGTCTCAGCCTCCACACCTGCTGGCCTTGAAGCCCAGGGCTGGACTCAGGAAACTGCCTTTGGGGAGGACTGCTGGATGCCTTAGGCCAATTGCTCCCCCTCTCTGAGCCCTGCCCTTGCCCTCTGGTTGAGGGTTGGAAAGCACCTGTCAGGTGAGTGGCCGTGGAGGCTGACGGGTAGCGGTTAAACACACGGGCTTGGGCACTAGTAAAACTTGGAGTCAGATCCCCAGCTCCTCCCCTTGAACACTGACCTAGGGTTTATGTCTGCCCCAGCTCCCAGCCTCAGTTTTATCATCTATTATAAAATAGGGTCATAATACCCACTTCAGAGCTCCACTGTAAAGATTATACAAAATGTAATAACAGCTAAAGCTTATGTGGCTCTTACGATGAACTAGGCACTGCACTGCAGTTTTCATATATTAAGTCATTTAATCTTCCCAGCAACGCTTTGAGGTAGCTGCTATTATAATTCCCACTTTACAGACTAGGAAACTGAGGTTCGCTAAAGTTACATAATATGCTCACGACTGGACAACTAGTAAACGGTGGCCCCAGGATTTGAACCCAGGCCAGTGAGGTCCTCAGGACCTGTCAAATACATGTTGGAAAATACTAAATATGAGCCCACCTTGGAAGCACTCACCAGTAGTCGTTCTTATACCTCCCTCCCAATGCCCAGGGTAGCAACTGAACCTCACGCCAGCAGACATGGACACGCATTTATTCCAGGAAGAGTTCTAAGAAATGATCTCCCTTCAGCTAAACCAGCACCCCCACTTTACAGAGCAGAGCAGAGCAGAGAGGCGGAGCGAGTGGGCCTGTCACACAGCAGGAAGCAGGTGAGGCCGGGGTGGGGAGGGGTCCTTCCCTGGTTCAGGCGGATGGAAAGATGAGGAAGCCGCTGAAGACGCTGTCTGCCTCGGGACCGTGGTAAATGCGGCCCTTGGCAGGATCTTTTTCGATCCAGACTTGGTCTCCATTCTGGAGCTGGAGCACTGTGCCCCCGGACACCACCTGGAAGGTTCCCTTGCTGTTGGAGTCACAGAAGCCCAAGGAGCGCAGGGCCTGGCCCCTCCTGGAGGCCATGATGAACAGACAGATGTCCCACTTGGACACCACCTGGAAAGTGAAGTAGTAGTAGCCCGGCACGGTGCAGACGAACCGGCCCGAGTGGCTCTGGTAGCGGCCTTCCTCGTTGGTGATGACCGTGTCGAAGATGACCACGTTGCCGCCCGTCGGCGGGTTCCGCCTCACAGCCGAGAAGGCTGGCCGAGGCTGGTCATTGATGTCTCCTGGGTTGCCCTTGATGCCCTTCAATCCCGAGGGACCAGGGGCACCCATGGGGCCACTAGGTCCTGGGTAGCCCATCTTGCCAGGGTTTCCAGGGGGCCCAGGGTCCCCCTGGTCTCCTTTAAGACCTCGGATGCCTGTCCGGATGCCAGGGGCCCCTGTGGGGAGGAAGACCAGATTGGGAGTGAGAGTCCAGTGTCTGCCCATCCTCAGGGAGATGGCTGGGACCCCAAAATGATGTGGGATAGTGGATAGAGGTGTGCTTAAGCCTTTAAGACCTTGATTCTGGCTGGTTCTGTGACCTTGGCAAGTATCTCAACCTCTCTGAGCCTCAGCTTCTTTATCTACAATATGGATCGAAGTGTGACCAGACACTTGGGAAAGTGTCAGCTTCTGTGAAAAGCAGGACACTGGCTCCTCCACTGCTTCTGCCCACAGCCCTGCACTTCACACCCCACAGGCCACTGACCCTGACCTCTCCAGTTTCAGGGACCCCGTATAGGGCACCTCAAAGCAAATTGTTACAAGCGTTTTCTGCAGGTCTTTCTGGTCTACTGTGGACTGGGAGGCTCGGGGGATTACATGAGACTTTCCTTTCCCATCTGGTCATGCCCTCCTCCCTTTCCTTCACCCCCAGGCTTTCCCCTTGAATTTGAGAGCTTCTGAAGCCTGAATGGTCTGGGAAGGGGGAGCAGAGACAGAGTGGGGGGTAGGTGGAAAGGAGCAAAAAGGATAGTTGCCATTAACTGACCCCTCTCTATTTGCCGGGTGGGGTTATTTCTCTATTTTTCAGATGAGGAAACTGAGTCTCAGAGAGGGCTCCGGAGTCTAAAACCCTAGGGCATTGGTCGTTCTGGTAACAATGACCAAGGACTGGGTGCTTCTTCAGGACCATTCTTATTTATTGCTTGCAGTGACCCATTCTCCAGAGGAGAAAGGCGAGGCCAAAGAAAGGGGGCTCAAGCAGTAAAGAGGACATGGTTCGGGGAGAAGCCTGGGCCCAACCTCAGCCCCTGGGACCAAGTGCAAACCGGAAGGGCTTTATGTGGAGGGGCTTTATATGGGGGCCCAGGTGGATTCCTGCTTTTTGGTACCACCCCAAGCTTCCACCCTGGAGCCCAGGCCAGGTAAAAAGATGAGGGGTTGGGGTCCAGAGGGAGGTACTTACCTGGCTCCCCTTGCTCCCCCTTGAGGCCTGGCCGCCCGGGTCGGCCAGGTCTTCCAGCAGCCCCTGCCTTCCCGTCTGGGGCTCGGCACACATCCTGGGTCATTGTAGAGGTCAAGGACATGGCCAGCACACCAACCACGAGCCAGCCCCATGGGGCTTCCATGATGCCACTGTAGAGACACGGTGGGGCCTGGGAAGGCTGGACATCACACACTCACGTACACCCAACTCACACACTTGAATCCCACACACAGTGATATTTACACCTCCCCCCACCAATGCCCACCTCCCTGCTCGAGGGACTTGGATGTCCACCCTCCATCCCGCTCCAGGGAACCCATACCTTTATATAGAACCACAAACTCACACAGATGCACACATGCAACGGAGCACTCCCACACCGTCACACACCCAGACACACAAGCAGCCTCTCACTCACACACGGCTGGACACACAGACACCAGATAGACTCCATCCCTCACCCACCTGGACATACACGTTCATATGCTCCTACAGATGATCAATTCCATTGAACAAATATTTATTGAGAGGCTGCTTCTTATTTAATTAACTCTCTCACCCAGATGGCAGCGCTGCGCATACACACGGGAATTCACAAACACCTGACATGACACATCTGCTCACTCCCATCCATACTTGTCCCCCTTTGGGCTGATTGTCACCCACTGTCCCCCTCTCTAGGACCCTTCTGCTGGGCTCTGAACCTCCCAGCCTTTTCCCAGCTTCTTGTGTTTTGGGGGATCAGGACCCAGAAACTCTGGTTAGAGTTGATCTGTGTCACCACCTTCCACTGTCCCCAAGTCCAAGGATTTAAGATCACCCCACTCACTGATTCTGGGTCCCAAATCAGTACCCCACCCAAACCTGTCCTGGTACAGACCAGCTACAAGTGCTCTCCCTCCCTGCCAGCCTCAGTGGTCCAGCTCCTAGGCCCACTCCCCTGGCTTCTGGACTTCACAGCCCCCTCCCTCCCTCTCGGGCGCTGGCCTCACCTGCCTCCAGTGGTCAGCTCAACTGGATGTTCCTGCTGTCCACCCAGGGACCTGTGTGGGACACACAGCAGGATGGTGTCGGCCAGTGGCCAAGTTTCACATCCCTTGCCACTTCCCCTTCTCCTTCTCTGGACCTGCCCCCGGCATTACCCCGG